TGGTTGCCTGGGGCCAGAGATGGGTTAGAGATTAACTATAGTATGGCATGAGGGATCTTTCCAGAGTGTTGAAAAGTATTTACAAATAGATTATGGTAATAGTTTCATAAATCAGTTATTAATTAAAAATCATTGAACCATACATTCAAAATGGATGAATTTATGGAATGTAAACATACTCCAATAAACTTGTTTAAAAGTAAATAAGAATTGTGCTGTCTTGCTTCTGTCACAGTCCAGATATAATGTTAGTTTGATTCAATATACATGTAGTTTTTAAACAGTAATTTTTGTGTTTTGAATTTTCCTAGGAGCTCTGAGGAATTAAAAATTACAAAGCTATAGCCTCATCTAGGGGAGAGGCAAAGAAAGAAAAAAAATTACAAAGCAACATTCCCTGTTCGCTGTGAGCCCAAAATATAATTGGAGAAATAAGATACATCCAAGGGAAATTTAATAGTATAAGAGAGCATTAATTAATTTTTTCAGAATATAAATTCAACCTCTAGGTATTTTGTGTATGAAGTGCCTTTAAAACCTTTCCAGTGAACAACTGAAATAAGCAAAGGAAACAGCATGGGGTTTGTACTAATATCAGGGGACAGCACTGTCCACATACATTTAAATCATGTTCCAAAAAATTAGAACAGGATTAGAAAGCATCTCAATGGTTAACTTCTAGCTTTCCTTCCCAGGAAAGGAGATAAAGGTATGGGTAGTAAAGGAAATCCTGGAAGCCTCAATAATGACTCCCAGTTCAGAAGCATGAGGACTAGAGTTAGGGATGGCTGCTAGACAAAAAAGTCATTCTTTTTTTTTTTTTTTAAATTATACTTTACGTTCTGGGGTACATGTGCAGAATGTGCAGTTTTGTTACATAGGTATGCACATGCCCTGGTGACATCAACCCGTCACCTACATTAGGTATTTCTCCTAATGTTATCCCTCCCCTAGTCCCCCACCCCCCGACAGACCCCAGAGTGCGATGTTCCCCTCCCTGTGTCCATGTGTTCTCATTGTTCAACTCCCACTTATGAGTGAGAACATGCAGTGCTTGGTTTTCTGGTCTTGTGATAGTTTGCTGAGAATGATAGTGTCAAGCTTCATTCATGTCCCTGCTGAGGACATAAACTCATTCTTTTTTGTGGCTGCATAGTATTCCATGGTGTATATGTGCCACATTTTCTTAATCCAGTCTATCACTGATGGACATTTGGGTTGGCTCCAAGTCTTTGCTGTAGACAAACAAGACATTCTAATCAAGGTAGTTTCTTCTCCAGATCACAGCATTCAGATAACTTCATCTTAGGAGAGTGAAGGCATGGCCACAATCACTCAGAAAGCCTACATGCTGTGGAGCTCATTTCTGGGGAGAATACTGATCCACTGATAAATTCACCCACATGTTGGAGGAGCAGTGTCCAGACCAAGAAGGACATACGTCTAACGGCAGCGAGAATTCCTCTATCTATAATAGTAGGACAGACTCCTACAAGGTAGAGCCACACATTTGACCTGAAGTAAAGGCCAAGCCTGTTGGCAACTAAATATGGCCTTACAGGGAAAGTAAACAGTGAGATTCTCTTTCTGGAAGAGTGCATGATCCTAGTTTCCTTCCTCCTCACTTTGGCTGCAAGACAACTCAACTAATATCAATCTTTATCATTCTTAACAGCCTAATATATCAAGGGAGGATTCTAAATGCACTCACCCTGATAGTAAAGGGAAACAAGGTTAATGTACTTTCTCTGTTTTGAGCAAATAGTAGGCCTGTATATCTACTCTTATGCAAGGAGTGTGCGTGTGTGCACAGAATTTTTTAAAACATAAAAATATATACGTATATATAAGTCCTCTGAAAAACTTTTGCAACATAAAAGATAAGATGCACGCACTACAGAGAAAAATGCCTCAACATTTTTTCCACCTCATCTCCCCAGTGAGTAAAGTGAGGGATTGATAGATAAAATTTTTAGTAAGATTATTTATTAATTCCCGCAAAGTGTAAAAATAAACCAATGTAGATAAACCAAAGCTAGTATTCAACTATTTAGCACTTACATACTTAAATATTACATTAAGAAAGTTATGGGATAGAAATCTTGACAATTCTGGATAAATAACACAAACATAAATCCAGCTTAAACTTGTATATTAATATTTGATTTGCATGGACTCTGGACATAATTTTACCTTTTGTGCATTCATTCAACAAACATATATTGACTGTGTCTCCTGTGTGCTAGGCATTGTTCCAGGCATAGAGAACATGGTAGTGAAGAGATAGAAAAGGGGCTAGAGTGCAGGGAGAAGAAATTAAATAAATGAGTTTTTACAAAATAAGATAATTCTATACAGTGATAAGCTCTATAAAGACAGTATAACACTGTAATGAGTTAGAGAGTTATTCTTGGGTTGAGAAAAGAAATCTGCTCTAAATAAGGTATGGAGGGAAGGCTCAACTCTGACACTTTGTGATGCTAGGCAAGACATTTAATCTCTCTCATATTCAATTTCCTTTTCTGTAAGTCACCAGTAGCTTTTTGTTGGTACTGGGCTAAGCATTGGCATTTGTCATTTTATTTATTTCTCAAAATAACCCTTTGTAGTAAGTACTATCGATATCCACATTGTAGGGATAAGGAAATTGAAGCATTAAAGTTATTAAGTAATTTGCTTAAGATAATTCAACCAATGAGTGGAAGGTCCAGAAATCCAATCCAAGTCTATGTAATGGTTATGCCATTACATTATAAGTAATGGAAAAAACAGAAATTACTTTTACACCAACTGAATAATCATCTAGTTCGATAATTTCTGTACCTTAGGCACCCAACCAGATGCATTCAATATAGAAAATATTGGGGGATTGGGAGGCACCATCTGAAATTGCAGTGCAGTCTATCTACAAGATAAAATTCAGTATTTTTCCGAGGGGCATTTTGCAATTTGCACAGCATATTTTATGTACTATAATAAATATCCATGTTCTATCACATTTCTTACTGTTAGCGGGAAATCAGTCGCATTATGGTGCTGTATTGGGAGGTTGGGAGGTATATGATAACACGGAGAGAGCATGCTATACAGTGTTCCCTACAATGGCTTATTTTTATCCATCATTGACTCTTGTTCTCACTTCTTAGGATATTTCTATGTTACAGTAAAGGACAGAGCAGTAGACAAACTCTCACTTCATAGAGAAAAACTTCCCACCTTGTGCAATAATGCCAACCTTTGTTGCCAAGGTATTCTATTAGCCTAAACCAGCCCATATATCATATTTGCCACTTTGAAATCAATCACCCTCACATATTCGGGGAAAAAGATTTTTTAAATGAAAAAAAAAAAAAATCACAGCCAGTCCTGCTGAATCCTGTCTCACATGATCACTACAATGGGAAGGTTACTGACATTGGTTCAGAAATGTTAGCTCCTGTTGCAACCAGGCTTCACCACAGCTTAGCCCATGAACACTGGAGGGCAGCAGGGAGGCCACATAAACCTCACCAAACAGTTTAGCGGGACACCAGGTGGCAGTGCTTCAGAACTTGGTGCTTTAGTTCTCAACGCGTGGAATATGCTAGAGCCTGATTCTCAAAAAAGGAAAATATAATAGAAAGATTTTGATAAAGGCTTCACAAGGTGGCGACTTTTGCGTAAAGACGTAGAGGAGTTCAGAGGTACACCATGAAGTCTGGTGGGGGTATAACATTGCAGGCATAGTGGGCAAAGGCCTTGATATGGAAGCCCGATGGAGTGTTTAAGGAATAGTATCTCATCTTTCCCTCTACCCTCTTGCGCTTCATAGCACACTACTGTAGAAGAGACTCACTGATAATTCAGCACTCTTAAATGCTTAGTCGATTATTTCCTCCATCTGTTGATCCTGAGGCAATTTGTGCCTAGGATTGGCATCTTGTCATCCTCACTGAGAAAGCCAATGCTGCTGCTTTGGGGCTGTTTGCTTCTCCATAGTCCAAACTTTGCTTTATAGGAGCCCTTTAAGATGTTACACCCTGCTTGACTTTAGTTAGAGATGCTTTTCAAAGTTAGGAAAAGTTGTGTCTCATTTCCCAAATATGAAAAACTGGAACACTAAAACCTATCTCGTAGGGTGTACGATGCTTAAATTAGGTAATGAATTTGAAATGTATAAATAGTGCCTGACATATAGTATGGCCAATGAATATCAACTCTCTTCTTTCCTAGTAAAACCTGCTTTTCCTTCAGTGTTCCAGTCTGGAGCCTGTTACTGCTTTTTCTTCTTACGTCGAACGTGGTTCAATGATGGGAGTGTTAAAAGAAAAACTTTAGACAAATTAAATTTTACGGAGTTTAATTGAGCAAAGAACGATTAGAGATTCAGGCAGCCCCCCACCAGACCAGAACAGATTCAGAGAGACTCTGGCACTGCCACATGGTCAAAGAATATTTCTGGACAGAAAAAGTAAAGTGACTTATAGAAAAAGGAAGTAAGGTGCAGAAACAGATGGATTGGTTAAAGCTTGGCATTTGCCTTATTTGAACGTGATTTGAACAGTTGGCCACCTATGGCCAAAACTTAGGGATTTGTAGAGAGTAGACTGTAGCCTGTTTATGCATCCTATTAGGTTACAGGGCACTGTGTATGGAGAAACCTTTGCCCTGAGCTTAAAATAAGTCAGGAGGCAGCTTTAGGCTAAACTTAATTTAACAGAAGTTTCTAGAAAACCTACTTGGCCATCTCTTCCCCTGGGAGTAGTCACTATTTTTCATTATCCTCTCGTGGTCATTTCCTCCTGGCTACATTAATACAATTGGGGTGCTGAAGGGGCACAGGAGGATCACTCAGTGGGTTTCATTTTCATTTTCCTAATGAGTAATTATATTAAGTGCTTTTTGTGTATGCTTATTACTATTAGATATCATATTTCTGAAATATCTCTTCAAGTTTTGGCCATTTGTATTGTTTTATCATTGCTTATTGACTTGTACAAGTTTTTTATGTATTCTGCATTTGAATCTTTTTCAGAAATATGTCAATGTAAATATAACTTTCCAATCTGTGTACTGACTTTCCACCTTTTTAACAATGATTTTTGACAAAGGGTTTAAAAATTAGACTTTTATGTTCATGGGAAGCTAGTTAGAGAGGTTTTTTTTGTTTGTTTTATAAGTACTTTAAAAATACTTTTTCCTCTTTAGCTTCTGTCGATTTTGATGAGAATTCAGCAAGCATTCTTAAAGACATTTCCCAGAACATGATATATCAACTTTCTCTGGCTGCTGGCAAGGTTTGCTTTGTTTTATTCCACTTAGACATTCCGAATATGGACTTTCGTTCCACATCTGCAGTGCTTCGGGCAAAACCACAGTGGTGGACTTAGAGAATTCCTTACTCAACTTTATGGCATTCTGTATAGCATTGCTCCTGACCAAGGAGCTTGTTTTATAGAAAGTCAAGTGTACCAGTGAGTGGAGGTGCTTGCTGAAAACAAACAGATTATGAAATGGGTAATGGAAGAGATAGTTATGGAAACCAGCTACAACCATGAGATCATTTGTGGATAAAAAAGACTATACTGTTATAAACATTTTCTTTCCATTGTGATATGAAAATATTAAAATACATGGTAACCATTTTTTACTCTCCTCCCATTTGTCTATACATAATAGTGAAAGATATGTTAATAAGTTAATCACATGCCTTGTTAAATTTCAGAAGCTAAACTACAGGATATCAATGGGAGAGTGTGACTCAGCTAGAAGAGGAAAGACTATCACCCAAAGATGAATAAATGAACTTTGTATTCTCTTTGAGGTAGAGGGTTAGGGTATTTGTGGTTGAGTGAAGAATAGTGGCATCATATTGGCAGGAAACATGCTTTTTAAAATTGTCTTTATTTGAAAGCTAAGTGTTATGAAAAGAGGTGCATACGGATGTCAAGTTTACAAGGTAGGGGTATTGTGGTAACTTCGTACTGTCTCATCGTAACTACCTGGAAATATATTTCTAAGAAAATCCTTCCCTATATTATTCTCTATTAAGTTGAAAAAAATTGTGCAAGACAGGTGCCAGGCTCCAGGAACGGTGGCAACTCACACGTGTTGCTACTGATCTGCTAACTCATCTTATTGTTGATTCACAACTCCCCCACTGCCCCCAGGTCCTCTTTCAGCTTCTCTTTTTCTTGGGCCAAGTCCCCAGGGAACAAGATAGCAAATAACACCATTTCTTCTGAACGTCACCAACACTATGAGATTGAAGGAGGTAAGAGACAGAAAAGTTTTAGTTTGTCCTCATGGGTTCCACCTGTCACCATGGGTTCCAAAATGTCTTTACAAATCAGTTTTTGCATGCTCTTGTCCACATTCAACTCTCCTTCCCAAATGTGAATCTAGCTGACCTAGAGTAAATTCAGGCTCAATACTAGATGCAAAGACAATAGCTTTGCATAGGAGTAAGAGCAGATTATGGCATTGTATCACATAGAAATCTGGCATGCTTATCCGACTGTATATTACAAATAAAAAACATGCCCAGCCACAGAATTTAACAAGTGAGACTGAATACTTTGGATCAATGGGATAGAAATGTGATATCAGGACAATTCTAGGACACATGATCTAAGAAGTACTCTTCTACTTGTGAAGGCAATAGGAATGAATATCCTGATCCTCTTCAGCCTAGTAAATAAAACTCAATGTCAGATTTTGAAAATATTACATTTTATTCCTGTTATAATTTCATAAAAACACAAACAACTAAGTAACTTCTGAGAACCACCAGCTCCAGCAATTGCATGAGGTCTAATCCTTATAACTAATCTTATTCTACATCTTTCATGATGGTTCTGCTTCCCTGATTGTACCCTAATTGAAATAAAGCCTAAGAGGAAAGGGCTAAGGAAATGATTTTTATTATGATTCAAGATAACTAGACCCATATTTCTGCTGTGAGCATCGTTAAGTGAAACTGCCACTTTAAGTTATTATGTGGAAGTCTTTCCAACTTTAGACAACTTTGCACGTTTTCCGTATGATCTATTTTCAGTAAAAATTTAAGTATTAGAAGAAAGTTGCTCTGAACACCTGTTTCCAAATGAGATAGAAGGAGGTCTTACTTAGAATTAACTCATCTGATCCAGACCACAGATTAAATCCACAGACCACAGTCACTACCCTCTCTTGCCTGAGATCTGCAGGTGTGCACTTCAAATCGGCTCCTGTAGCAAAGGATGCGGAGTAGAGGGTTCTCTTGTCGAGCCCTAGGGTTTTTGTTTTGCTTTTACTATCACTTCAAACACTGTGAGTTCCCAGAGAGCACAGAAGTATGTTGCTGAGTCTTCTAGCTGTAAGGCTGAAATGGTTAAGGCGATGGAGCTAGCTTCTTTCTTGAAGTTGACAGAATAGCGACCATTTCTTGCATTCTGTTCAGAAGAACCCTGGCGAATAAGGAAAATCATCTCTTTGCCGGGAAGTTGCTTGTACCAAAAAAGGTCATATGACCACGAACTTGTTTCATACTGGCAGTTCAGGGTGACTGCTTTCCCCACTGGCATGGATACTGATGACTGGGCTTGAGTAACCTTCTGGGCCACACTGGATCCTGTGGGAAAAAATCAGAAAACAGAGCTGATCCTTTGATATAGTGAATATCGTAAGAACTAGACTAATTTAGGACCCAGAGACAAACCAAACTAAAATCATAGTATGCTCGCCTTTTTCCAATTTCACCTTTCCTCCTCAAATCCATGAGAAACACAACATGTCTGTCTGTAATCCTTCCATCCTTAACATTTTTACCCACATTTGGAACCATCCATACCAGAGTAGCTGAAGGCCACAAATATGCACAGCAAGCTGGAGAACAGCATGTGGCATGTAGCTCTCTGCACAAATGTGAGTTGTGCTGCCTGACGCTCCAAGTTCAGTACCCACAAGGGCCCTGTGGTGTGCATACGTAGTTCCTGAGTTCTGATGCTATCTCCCCAAACAGAAAATTGAGTCTCATGTTCATAGACTACATGGCTATGCACAAATGAGGAAAAATGTCTGGTTCACCCTGAATCTTTACTTTGTCTAGTTGTCTTTCCCTAGTCATTAGGATAGACAGAACCTAGAAAACGGATATAAGGAAAGCAATTTGTATTGAGGGTTGTAGCTGAGGGGAACTGCAGTTGAACCAGTTGACATACATTGATAATATTCATTTAGCATATATTTACTTTTTGCCATCAGAAATGAATTAAATTTAAAAGAAAAATACTCAGATATTTGACTTTCTCTGTGAAAGGCAGTCCTATTCTAAACAATTACTGCATCTCTTTCTTCCTCCTTACTGAGTTCTAGGGCCCTAGTTAAGTTCTGTAATAAGTAAAGCTACTTCAAAACCAAATGATAAAAATAAGTCCTTCTTGACTTTCAGAAGCTGCTCAGTTGTTTATGTTTTTATGAAATTATAATAGGAATAAAATGTAATCATTTCAAAATCTGACACTAAGTTTTATTTACTAGACTGAGGAGAATCAGGATATTCAGTCCTGTTGCCTTCACAAGTAGAATTGTACTGCTTAGATCATGTGTCCTAGAATTGTCCTGATATCACATTTTCTATCCCATTGATCCAAAGTATTCAGTCTCACTTGTTACATTCTGTGGCTGGGCATTTTTAAAAATTTTAATGATAAGCATAAGATATTGTTTGTCATGATAAGCATACAAGATCTCTCTGTGATACAATGCTATACTATACTCCCACAGAACGTGTTATCTGAAGGTTGCAAGAACTTCGTGCATGTCAATACCACAGAAGTTGGTGGCTGAATTTTTTATATTCTGTTATGTGATTGTATGGAATTAGATGTTAATCCTCCATGTGATTTCATTGTCTTTTTCAAAATTTTAAATTGAAAAATTTTTATTTTAGAGTTGGGGTCTCTCTCTGTCACCCAGACTGAAGTGCAGTGGCACGGTCATAACTCATTGCAGCCTGGAACTCCTAGGCTCAAGTAATCTTGTCACTTCAGCCTCTCAAATGGCTAGGACTCCAGTTGTGAGCTACCAGGACTGGCTAATTTTTTATTTTATTTTGTAGAGATGGAGTCTCTCTACGTTGCCCAGACTGGTCTCAAACTCCTGGCCTCAAGTGATCTTATCTTGGCTTCCCAAAGTCCTGGGATTTTATGTGTGAACCCAGCCCCTAGTTTCACTGTCTTAATGGATGAATTAATATAAAGGGACCAAGAGATGGCTAAGAAAGAAAGTGCAGACAAGGTCTCTAAAACATTTCCAGTTCTTTTATAAAGGTGAAAATAGCATATCACTGAATGGTGCAGGGAAGAGTTTCTCATTGTTTGAGACATCTACTCCTCTGTCCATTTCACCTCTGAGTGCAGACAGGTAGCCATGCTCTGGTTTGCAATTATTTGCACTTAAGTAGCTGGAGACCATTAATACCCACAGTAGACTGGGAACCAGTATGATGGCAGGATTTCCCTCCTGTTGAAATAGCCCTGCTTTGTACCCTGACAGTATGGGTGCAGGATCCCGCAGCTCTGTATAGAAACTGCCTCTGAAATGTGGTTTCTGGGTGGGTCAAGTATTAATGTGCTGTGATAACCCCTCGGTGGGGAAATTGGTTCTATCTTAAACATTGTTTTGCCCTTTCTTATAACTTAATTAACAAATGACAAAGGATTGTATCTGGTAAAGGACATGCATGAAACAATATTGAAGGAATTCTTAAAAGGAGATGAATCATTTAAAATTTCCAAGTTTAGGAAACTGATCTGTGATAAACCTGAGGGGCTTATCTCAAACCAATTTTTTATGAATCATGGCTTTGATTGCAAATATTCATTCATGTTTTGATTGTTCACTTGCTATCAACCTGAGTCTAAGGTGAAGCTACTCACCAATCCTTGGCTTCGACACAGGAGACAAACCAGAAGTCATCACCTCCCGTCCTTCCTACTTACACATCAAACCAAGGGAACTGGTAACTTCACAATGGCAAAGCATCAGCTCAGACAAATGAGATTTAAAAAAAAAGACTCCCAAGTTCAGTATTTTCTCAAGTTGTGAATTCTAGTGTCAAGAGTAGCAGCGAAGGCCTATTATTTCTACTGGAACTCTATGCTTACTTTTATTAGAAGTTCTAGGATGGGAGAATCCATGGGCGTTCTGAATTCAAATCTTTAGCCATGCTGTTGTCATGAGTGCATGTGTACTTTTTGGTGCAATTCTATAATTTTTAATAGTTATCAGGAAGACAAAGTCTCTCACAAAATGCTGCTTTATCAGTAAAAATATTCAAAACTATTAATAGTATAAATTTTCAAAATAAAAATATTTCCCTCTTTGGACATTGAAAGAATGAAGATTCTTTTCCACTTTATGCTGAAACTTCATCTGATCAAGCAGTCTATGTCAAAGCACCAAATTCCAAAAGCTGTATTTTTGTTGGACTGCCCCATAAAGAAATCCCAATGGGAATAATTGAGTTATTCTACGGCAAACTGTCCTCAGACTCTTCCCGGTTCTTTGTAGAAATCCCCAAACTCACATCTGTAAGAAACCACAGAATCACTGTTGAGGCTCCCAGCTCTTCCCAATTCTTCCTCTCTCTCATGTACTTGTCAACAGCCCTCCTCTCATGCTGACCACGAATTCCAACCTAGGCACTGTATTCTACTTTATTCTTCAATATTTCAGTCCAATGAAAGCCACTCTAATCAGACATAAATACTATTCCAATTTCTTCTTTGATTTTTCAAACTGCTAGAAAAGGAAGTAAAATAAACTTTGAGAGCCCAGGGGAGTTAATATTCACAAAATGCTGACATTTTGTGGGCACATCTCCCATTGCTAAGAGGTAACTAATTGGATTTTTTTCCCACCTCCTCTTTTTATGTATTGAAAAAGTATGCATTGTGGTTCAGGGGAAAGAGTCTTGGGTTGTTTATTTCAGGTTGAACATCCTTTTATTCATAAATTAGAGATTTTTTCCAACTGATTTTTTATTGCCATTTATGTGGCCTACCAGAAATACATCTGACAAAATCGTAGGTAATGAAGGTGCTATTTTCCATTCTGTGGACTGGTGAAGATAGTAAAAACTGTGGTTGTTGTAAACCATTTAAAAATTATTTTTTAAATTTATGAAATAATTATCATGAGAAAAAGTACAGAAAATCATATAGCAGATACCTTTGTATCCAGCGATGAGAATAAACAGATAAACAGATGATGAATTTTGTTATGTTTTCTAAAAATATTCTCTCTCTCTCTACATTTCAGATTTTCTCAAACATTTCAGACAAAGCTAGAACAATAGTCCTTGTTCCGTTTACTCTTTTAAAGATTGTAATCACTCTTGGGAAGATTCCACACATGTCTTTTAGAATTTAACCGTTACAGGCCGGGCGCTGTGGCTCACGCCTGTAATCCCAGCATTTTGGGAGGTCGAGGTGGGCAAATCACGAGGTCAGGAGATCCAGATCATCCTGGCTAACACGGTGAAACCCCATCTCTACTGAAAATACAAAAAAAAAAAAAAATTAGCTGGGCGTGGTGACGGGTGCCTGTAGTCCCAGCTACTCCGAAGGCTGAGTCAGGAGAATGGTGTGAATCCGGGAGACTGAGCTTGCAGTGAGCCGAGATGGCGCCACTGCACTCCAGCCTGGGCGACAGAGTGAGACTCCGTCTCAAAAAAAAAAAAAAAAAAAAAAAAAAAGAATTTAACCTTACAGGTATGTATTACAAAACAATATACTGCATTATTTTGTATTTTGAGATTTCTTATTAATGGTGCCATGCAGTATGTATCATTCTTCTTTTACATCCAACATTTTATTTGTAAGATTTATCTAAGAAAATATGTACAGAACCACTTCTTTGCTTGTAATAGCTAATACTTCCATTGTATGACAAAACCACTATTTTTTCATTCCACTATTGATTACACTTATTTTTAAAGAGGGAGCATCCTTGTAAATGCCTCCTAGTTTACATATTGACTACCTTGAATGTAGATATCAGAAATTTGTATTGCTGGATTGTTAGATATATGCCTATTCATAACTAGTTTAGGCAAATTGTTCTCCTAAGTTCTCTGTGTGGTGTTTTTTTTCATCTGGAAAAGTGTAATAGCTTCATCTCCATATATTCCTACCAATATTTAATGTTATCAGACATTTTAGATTTTGTTGATCTAGTAGAAATGAAACAATACTTTATTTTAATTTGATTTCCTTGAGTTCTGTGGAAGTTGATGTTTTACATTTTTAGTGGCCATTCCTATTTCTTCTTTTTGAATTGCCTTTTATATCCTTGTCTCTTCTTATTTTGGATGTTTTCTAATTTATATGTAAGAGTTCCCCATCTAACCTTAATTTCTAAAATTGTACCGGTTATATTATTTACAGATGCATCCAGCATGTGTCTTGCTTTTAATTTTGTAGTGGGTGCACCTGCAGGTTAAAAATTTCCCTTGTATTACTGAATCTTTAGTGATTTTCATTTCCAATTATCAAATAATTTTAATGATTATAAATCTACTTAGTTTTTCTATTTCTTCTTGAGTTACTTTTGGTAGTATATGTTTTTCATTCAAATTATTTCTACTTTTGAAAGTTTTAAAATTTATTGGCTTAAATTGTACTTAACATTTTCTAATTTTTTTTTTTTTTAGTTTCTACTTTATCTCCAGACATGTCTCCTTTTTAATCTCTCCTATTATTGTATTTATTAGTCTCCTATTATGGCCATAAGAAATTACCACAAATTCAGTGGCTTAAAACAACACAAATTTATTATTTTGCAATTCTGAAGGTCATAAATCCAAAGTCAGTTTCATTGGGCTAAAATCAAGGTACTAGCAGGTTTGAGTTCCTTCTGGTGGCTATGGGGAATAATCTGTCTCTTTTTTTTTTTTTTTTTTTTTGCCTTTTCCAACTTCGAGGCTGTCCTCATT